GGTGAGTTTTCAGCCCATTGGAACGCATTTAACCGGTTTCAATGCATTTCAATGGGCTTTCTCGTTTCGCTTGATGAAGATTTCGCTTAACAGCGATTTCAATGGAACGAATTATCCTCGTCAAGCAAGGCACCACTGTACTTCTGCTTCATTGACTATGCAAAAGCCTTCAACTGTGTGGACCACAGCAAACTATGGCAAGTCCTTAAAGAAATGGGAGCGCCTGACCACCTTATTGGTCTCCTGAGAAATCTATATGTGGGACAGGAAGCAACAGTTAGAACTGGATATGGAAAAACTGATTGATTCAAAATTGGGAAAGGAGTACGACAAGGCTGTATATAGTCCCTCTGTTTATTTAATGTATATGCAGAATACATCATGAGAAAGGCTGGAGGAATCCCAAACCGGAATTAAAATTGCTGGAGGAAATATCAATAACCTCAAATATGCAAATGATACCACTCTGATAGCAGAAAGTGAGGAGGAATTAAAGAACCTCTTAATGAGGCTGATGGTCGGATTCCAATAAATCTCCTGTATGGAGAATTAGTGCAGTGATTCTTAACCTTGGGTTACTCAAGTGTTTTTGAACTGCTGGTGGTGAAGGCTTCTGGGAGTTGCAGTCCAAAAACACCTGAGTAACCCAAGTTTAAGAACCAGCGAATTAGTGCAGGGAAAGCACCCCAGAGGGAGCTGCAGTGCAAGGATACTGTATCTGCAAATGGGAGCTAAAGGCCTTGGGAATTGACCTCAACAGATGGGAAACCTTGATATCTGAGTGTTCAGCCTGGTGGCAGGCGATGCATCACGGCCTCTCCCAATTTGAAGAGACCCTTGTTCAGCAGGCCGAGGCAAAGAAGCAGTCCCGAAAGCAGCAAAATCAGGGAGTTGGACAGGGAAAAGATTGTATTTATCTTCGGAAGAGAAGAGATTGTCACTCTCGAATTGGCCTCCTCAGCCACACTAGACACAGTTCCAAGTCAGAGAATGTTACCATAGTCTCTTGAGACTGAAGGATGCTTAACCATCACCTTCCTATTTTCTATAGTCTCTTGAGACTGAAGGATGCTTAACCATCACCTTCTCTACCTATTTTCTAACCAGCTCTATATCTCTCAGTATCTGTTCCCTCTCTTTCTGACTAACCAGCCCTATCTGACTTCTCCTTCTCCCGCCAAACCTCATGTAGCTGCTGACTCCACTTCTCCAGTCCTCTCATAGGCTCGTGGAAATCAGCTCATGACTATGAATAGTATGAGTGACGTGGGCAATCATCACACAGGGCTTCTGAGTTAATTCCTTACAGAGCAGCAAGTAACAAGAGAAGTCAATCTGGGAGAGATGTAGGTAGGGTTGGCCTTCTTAGCCACTCTAGACCCTGTTCCAAGTCCTCCATATACAGCACGATACCATATTCTCTCAAGACAGAAGGATGCCTAGTCTAATCTAATGAGGGTGAAATAGGAGAGTGCAAAAAATGGTTTGAAGATCAACATCAAAAAATGAAGTTCATGGCCACTGGATCCATCACCTCCTGGCAAATAGAAGGGGAAGATATGGAGGCAGTGACCGATTTTACTTTCTTGGGCTCTATGATCAGTGCAGATGGTAACAGCAGCCACAAAATTAAAAGACGCCTGCTTCTTGGAAGGAAAGTGATTACAAACCTAGACAGCATCTTAAAAAGCAGAGACATCACCTTGCCAACAAAGGTCCACATAGTCAAAGCTATGGTTTTTCCAGTAGCGATGTATGGAAGTGAGAGCTGGACCATAAAGAAGGCTGACCGCCAAAGAATTGATGCTTTTGAATTGTGTTGCTGGAGGAGACTCTTGAGAGTCCCCTGGACTGCAAAGAGAACAAACCTATCAATTCTAAAGGAAATCAAGCCTGAGTGCTCACTGGAAGGACAAATCCTGAAGCTGAGGCTCCAAGACTTTGGCCAGCTCATGAGAAGAGAAGACTCCCTGGAAAAGGCCCTGATGTTGGGAAAGTGTGAAGGCAAGAGGAAAAGGGGACAACAGAGGATAAGATGGTATCAACATGAATTTGACCCAACTCCAGGAGGCAGTGGAAGACAGGAGGGCCTGGCGTGCTCTGGTCCATGGGGTCACGAAGAGTCGGACATGACTTAGCAACTAAACAACAAAGAAGCAGTAGTCATAGAAATGTATGTTGCACTTTTAAAACAAGGTTTGAACAGCAAGTTTTAAAGAGTGGCTGCAAAGCCAGCACTTCAGTCAAGTCTGGAAGCAAGTCACTGTATGACAACCTCACCTTGCTAGATAGATAGATAGATAGATAGATAGATAGATAGATAGATAGATAGATAGATAGATAGATAGATAGATAGATAGATAGATAGATAGACAGACAGACAGACAGACAGACAATTTAATGGCAGATATCCTTCTCCAGAACATATTTATGTTGCAACGTGTTAATATAACTAGACACAGTATTTACAGGATCTATAACTTGCATTCTCTGTAACTACCTACGCTTTGGTTTTACAGTACCTAGGTGTATCAGATCCTTTATTTTATACACCTTTAATAATGTTTATCATCATGGTGATAGCCTGCCAGATTCTGAGTTGCAAGCCCTTTTATTTACAAGAGGTGCAAAAACAATAGAAATTCCTATTATAAATATTTCCTTGGTGCATTAGACCCGTAAAAGAGCCTTGTGGTGAAGTGGTTAAACTGTAGGACTTCAACTAGAATTCTGTGCATGATCTGGGTTCAGTTCTAAAGTGGTTAAACTGTAGGACTTCAACTAGATTTCTGTGCATGATCTGGGTGCAGTTCTAAGGTAGCCAGCTCAAGGTTGACTTACCCTTCCATTCTTCTGAGGTAAGTAAATTGAGTACCCAGCTGGGACAGTGGTTAAACTGTAGGACTTCAACTAGATTTCTGTGCATGATCTGGGTGCAGTTCTAAGGTAGCCAGCTCAAGGTTGACTTAGCCTTCCATTCTTCTGAGGTAAGTAAATTCAGTACCCAGCTGGGATGGGGGCAATGGGTAGCCTGCCTAATTAAACTGCAAACCATCCAGAGAGTGCTTTAAGCACTATGGGGCAGTATATAAATGGCATACTTAGCTTCTAACTTGCAGGCCCTGAAAAAGAGAATGTGACAGTTTGAAGGGAAACCTGTAGACACCTGAAATAACTATAAATAGAGGAAGACAGGAGACAAATACATCATCATCGTCACACAATGCTACATGCCACGTACACAATGATACCAATGAGAATCATGTAGCAGCAACAGCAGACAAGGATAACTTGGATTTTCCTCCACATTCAAGTGGCTTGACTGGGTGAGCTCTTAAGGTAATTTTGTGAGTGTGTTCTTAATATGCTTAAAGGCTAAGAAAGCAATTTTCTTTAATAAATTCTTATTCTTAAGAACTTCGGTATTTTAGAGTTGTATTATCTGCTTTTTCAATGTGCTTTTTTAGGCTGTAAGCTGCATTTTTTGAATGTAACTAAAATATTATTTTTGGTATATTTATTGTACTTTTTATGCTCCTGTATTTTGGACTGAATTTTAAGTATTTGCCTGCAACTTAAGTTTTCACATAGTATTGCTTAAGCGTTTGTCTCTATAGTATTTCATGGCTGTAATAGTAGATGTTTATAACAACTTTTAAAACAACTTTTATAATTTTATAACAAATTATTTTTGCGCATACTGAGCATAGAAACAATGTCAGTAAATAAAGCTTTTCGAATTAGATAAAGTGATGTTGCTTAGAATTATTGCAACAATGAAAAAACTTACCTTGATACCCAGATGAATTTTGATATGGTGGGAAATGATTATATTCTGGAATTCACCCTTAATTGGGATAAAATGCCAGCTGTGACAAACACAGGCTTCTGTTTTTTTTCCCTAGAGGTCTATAAAGTTCCATCGGACTCTTAGGGAGATGTTCAGGCATCAGATATTTGGACCTAACGGTTTCTGTCTAGTTCACAAATCTTAAATTTTCAGCTACAAATACACAGAGAGGAACCACGCTGGGTGTGGTTTCAAATTTTATTTATTGTTATTTTGAAAAGATTTGTTTCATCTTCAAATGTAGATCTAATTTCAGCATATAATTTAAAACTGACCCCTAGCACATGTTACAGAAACAGGACTCTCCAAGACAGACTACTTTTTTTCTTTACATAATTGATTTGACACACAAGAGCAGGTGTGTGACGAGGGCAAGACCAATGCCCATACTCCACTTCATCCCTTGGGTGGAGAGGGCAAAAGGGTCCCAAATGAAGGAGGGGAGGACTCCCCTAAATCCATTTTCCTTCTCCAGGAAGACATTCCTATGACAGGCATCCAGCTGAATTTCTTTACAGACATTCCTATCAGACATGATGAAGGGGGACACTGACAACTGACCTGCAGTGAGCTAGGCCTCACAGCCTATCTGTCTGAAAACAGCCTTTTGCCACCAACAGGGAACTTCTACAGAGCCGTGTTTCAAAATTAAGAGGAAAGAGGGAAAAGAGCCCTAGCCAGTCCCGATATCCCCAGCCAACTGCTTTCCATCTCTCACAATGCAATCCTGTCTTATTTATTTGTTCTACTCTCATTCCATTTTTCTTTGAATAATAATGAACCCACATATAATCTTTCAGTGCAGACCATGATAGCTGGTTGCACAAAAGGTTCCTGGACATGCCTAAAATCGCTGTCCAGTCTAGCCATTCTCAACTTTTTTTTCCTATTTGTTCATGGCCATGAACACAATATGAAAGGCCTATAGGCTGAATCAGGATTGTGTGAGTCGCATAATGAATTTTCTAAAGTGGGGTGTGAAGAATTGTTTTCAATCTGCGGTCCCCTTCAAATGGGCCAGGGTTCCCCAGAAGTCCATATGGCCCCAGTTGAGAAAGGCCAATGTCTACAGCTTTAGTTGTAGAAAAGGAATAAATATCAAAATATATGGAAGTTCATTAAGATTGTCAAATACTCTGACACTGAAGTGAAAATGTTAAACAAGTGGTCAAGTGGCAAAAAGGGCTGGTTAGATAGCATTTTAGTAGCACCCAAGATGCCACAAGAATAGGTTCCCGATAGTAGGAATTTCAGCGCAATTTCTCTGTCTTGTCTCCTTTCTCTGTTTGCTACCAGGAGCTGGGATGGACCACTCCACCCCCATCAACTACTATACTGAACTCTTAAGAATACAATATATATCTTGTTCCTGGCTAGAATCTATTGAAATAGTTCTTTCCAAGCACAAGTAACTCTGGGAATGGTGTTGTTTCTGAACCAGGGATATGCCTTGGAACCAGCTGGGCTGCAAGATGGACGTGCCCGCATGCAATGTTGTTTAGTTACAGGTCATAATCTTGGTCAATGTTCCCTTGTGCAAATTGGCTGGAATTTTCTGCTGATCTCCATCATGCTAAGGCCGATGACAAAGCTATCCTTAGTGCCCTAACCCATTTTTTAAATTCTGCAAATACAGTCTCCTCTCTGTTTCCTTTCCAGGTCAACACTAGGCTCTGGAAACATCCAAAAATGGCAGTATTCCCCCCACCCACCCACCCAGCTCACGCAGGTCTTTTGGTCTCCAGTCCTGCTTCATTGAGAAAATAAAATACATATACTATACAAAGTTACTCGGCACAACAACAAATACATTAAAAAAGATCTACTCTTATGTACAGTATTTATAAAAAGCAAATTGACCAGCCACCCCCCGAGTATAAAAATACATGTCTCTTATTTTATGCCCATTATTAAACTCTAGAAATAATTACTTATGGACTTAAAAATTACTTTCAAAACCACAGTGCTGTAAAAATATTCATCTTAGTTTTTTCCCCCAACCCCTCCCCATTTCCCACCCAGCCCAAGGCCTGAAATTTATAAGGTGCATCCTTTGAATGAGTGAAGGAAAGAAAGTAGAAAGAGACAGACAAATGAAGGAACAATAACAGCAAAAAAAAAAAAAAAAACTTTCAGCATGGCTTTTGGCAAGAAGCCTAGAGATGTCTTGACTACAAGTTGGGCTAAAGTAGCTGAGGACAGGTGGAAGTTTGCTCCACTCTTCCTTCTCAGGTGACCACTGAATTAATCCACTTGAAGATATATTCCATTCATTTAAAAGAAATCTACTTCAATGACAACAGTTCAGGATGACAGAATTTTGTCCATTTGCTTTTGTTCATCACATAATAATAAAGAAGAATGTCACCATCTATAATGCAGGGCAGGTCCCATAATCTTATCCAAGGGAATAATCTCATGCAAAGGCCATCAAGTTTACTGGAACCTAGCAAGATATTGGTGGGATTAGGAGTAGGAAGACAAAGTATTGTCCATGTCTTCACTGGTCATTAACTGGACCTCAGAGTTCAAATGGAGTTCATTGCAGATGGCAATATCAGCAGTCACTTATCTCACAAAGCATGTGACTTCCTTAGTTATGTTCCTCAAGCTATGTCTTTCAGGTATTTCCCTGCTGCATCATTTCTGCAAAGCATATTGATACAATGATGACCAAGGTAAAACAGAATAAAACCTACAACTGCCTTTTAAGGTGCATATTACTAGGAGCAGCAAAAACTCTTTACTACAGCAGGGGGCAGTGTAGCTTCAGGTAGTTGCCTAGAAAAACAACTCTTGGCCCAAAATACATAGCAGCTGAAACCCAGCTGTAAACTGCAACCGGGACAGGCCTATTGGATCAATGGAATTTACAGAGAAGTCAACTCACCAAATCCCCATGGATTCACTGGACCTGCTCTGTGTCTTGCAACTCGATTTCAGTCATCAAATTATTGCAAAAGCTTACAAACCACTTCAGTGTATGGCATACACTGGAGAAACTCTTATTGTTGGGACAATTGTTTGTTACAGCTGTTATGACACACAATCACCCCAATTCTACCATGCAGTACCAATCACAGTAGGTACTGTATGGTGCAGGGCCAGGATGGCTGCTCTCCACACAGAATCTTCCTGTGCCTGGAGACAGAGAGTTTTCCTGCTCTTCCTTCCACACACATAGTTCAGCTGCTTTGTGCAGGAAGCAGTCCCATGTGAACTGGCAAACTACAGCTATGTGAACATAGCAACAAGCAAAATAGTGATGCAAGGGGCGGGGGCTAATGTCTTTAATCTCATGCATGCCTGTACTGCCTTCCCACCTGAGAGTTTATTCCTCATAGCAGCACATGCTGCTCATCAGACATGGAATGGGCAGATGGAGATGCCCACCCTTGATGCTGAGTAACAGGAAGGTTACTAGCTAGTAGTATTCATTTAGCAGTTTATAGTAGCTGTGTAATCAATCAGATGTGTTTTCCTGGTATATCTCAAGTTCTGAAATACTACCACTTTGATGGTACTGGATTTATACAGCGTGTTGCATTATCTAAGCCTAAGAACAAGCTATTGTAATCTGTAGGGGAAATGGCGCTTTGAAGTCTCAAAAAGATTCTGATCTGATGTGTTAGCCTGCCTAATGGAGGCAAGCATATTAATTTCATTTGCTCAGTGAACTTCTGAGAAGTGCTGCTTTTTTACCTTCCTGGAAAGGCCATTCAACCTGACAGTAACAGCTGTTTAAAAACAGAATGGGTAGCCTGAGAAGGTGACAGGTTCTCCATTTTTTTAAAAAAAATGGTTTTAAAAACAGAGGCTAGTTGGCCAGCTGTCGGGGATTCTTTAGCTATGGATATTGTGCTTTGGCATGAGATTAGGAAAAAACCCTAATGGGGTCCCTTCCACCTCTATAATTCTGTGATTCTATTAAATCATTTTCATCTTATGAATGCTGGATGATATGAGGAAAGTTTCTCAATATCATAGGAGAAAAAGGAGTCAATTTTACGAACACTCTCAACTTCAGATCATGAAATAGCAACAGGAGATGGTAAACAGCAAACACATTTCAGTACAAATGAAAACAGATTTGGTATAGGTGATATTTCTCCCAATCAGATCCCCAAGACCAGTAGTTTGAAAATGGTGTTCTGGGGAAAGCCAAGTTCCCTAGAGACAGCACAGGGCTCCTGAAGAGAAACCATCATCCTGACTAGCACAGCAGAAAAATGTTGCCATGATCTTGTGAGCCCATGCTTTTAAGTTTTCTCCATAAGGAATCAATTACAGCTTTCCTCCCCTACTTCAAGAGCTGCAGACTAGATATTATGAAAGCATGGCTATTAATTACAGGGGAGGAAAAACTTAATTGGTTTCTCCTAGTGTGCTAAAGTATGAGATTGGATTGAAAAAGGCTACGTTTTACCTTGAACTCACCCACTGTGTTTATACCCTGGAATCAGCTCAGCTCCATGAAGTCTTGTATGCTACTCTTTAGTGCACATCATTCAATTAATACCTAAGGCTTCTACGCCAAACTCAATGAAATTCATAGCCTAAATTACAAAATTCTATAAGAGATCATTTTCCCTTCAGATATTATCATCATCCAGTCGCCTACCACAATTGGGGAAGGATGCTAGACCAACCCCAGCCTGCATCAGCTTTATGTACTATAAGATAGCAAAGAAGTTCAGTCTTCCTACTACTCTTGAACCAGGCCAGACTGTCAACTTTTCAGGATTCCATTACTGTTGAACCTCTAACCTATGTCTGATCTGCAAGAATGAGCAGGTGATCAAGCTTTATACAAATTCCTCTCCAACAAGCTGTTATTCAGTGTGTTGCTGCAGAGACAGATAGAAAAATTGCCCACCATAGGTGAAATACAGAAAGATGTTAAACTCTAATTGCTGGGCTTAATAATAATAAAAAAAGAGAGAGGGGGGCATAAATCTAATACCGAGCAGTCCTCCTGTAATGTGAAGGAGATTTCTCCCTCCCTGCATCGTTATCCAGCTCTCTGCACCAGCCAAAGACTTGGCCTAGAGGGCTTCCCAGACTTGTGGGGCCAGTTTTAAGGATGCACGGGGTGTTGCACTGTTTGGTTAGTAGAAGCAGTTCGGTCCGTAGAATAACCTGCCTGCCCTATCCCAGCCCCAGATCCTGCCTGGAACCACTAACTGCATAGTGACATTTTCCTCCTTAGATGCAATGCAATCACTTCCGGTGCTTGTCTTTCAAAAACAAACCTGTTGTTGCCAGACTGGCCTCTACTCACTCATTGCCTTCATAGAGATGAAAGTTAGTAAGATAGCCACTTCCTTGGCACAGGATTATAGAAGCCATGCCTTCAATTACAATGGAAGACAGAAGGTCTCTGTTTCAGCCTTTTGTCCAGGTTTCAACCTCTCTGCTCAAAGGATCAGAGAGCAGGAGACAGAAATCCCCTCTGCTGGAGACTCAGAATACCCTGGGCAGCTCACTCTTGCCTACCTCCTTACCAGTGTTCCTTTTCTGCTATGTCTGTATGTAAATATCTGTTTGCCTGCCTGCATGTGTGCACATACAGTTGTGTGTATTAGGCATATATATGCCTAATACAGACAGAACTGGGTTTGATGGATGAACAGTCTGGCCTAGTTAAAGGCAGATCCCCGCATCGCTTGTAAATATCCTGTTGGAAACCAAGGAATGCTTGGCTTTGCTCTTCTACTGTACCCAGGCCTTCTTTTCCTTTAATGGCTTCTTTCATCCCTTTCCTTCTTGCACATTTGTGAGGCCCATGTATGTCACTATAAGATGAGACATAAAAGCATTTCAGGGCACTACAAATAAATATAGAACTTGGTGGCCATCTCTGGTCAAAGAAGTAGCTCTGGATACACTAACCATTGAGTCATCCCTCCATAAATGATCTGCAAGGAAAGCAGGGACTGCTTGCCAATACGGCCATTATCAATACAATTCCATTGGAATCTCACCATCCTGGACAATAAAAGCAAAGTAACTATGTACAAATTAACACAAATTCTTCTAAAACTACAGGAATTAGCAGCAATTAAGTCCTAGTAAGTAGTTAAGCTGGTGGACAAGGTTGGTGGCAGGGCTAGCTCTCCCAATCATCTGCCACTAGAGGGAAACAGGGGTGGGGCACTGTGACAGGTTACAGGGTGGGGTGGGTGTGCGGGAGTGAATGGTGGTCTCTCTCAGATGGGAGGATCAGGTCCATCTGATCCAGTTATAGCTCCACAGGTGCTTTCAGGACACAGGAGCCTGAACACAAAAGCCTCCTTACTCTAGACTCTTAAATGTTTTGTCATTCCTTCTTGCCGTATTCTGATGACACAAGGGGACAGAAACAGGAATTTAATGTCACTGACAACAGGCCTACTTCCCATAGTTCTATCCATAGAATGAAGAGCGGTGCTTTCCCTACTGCCTGTCCTCCTCTAAAGGCCAGCCCCACCTTACCATTTGGCCCTGCTGAGGCAAAACATGGCAAATCCCATCCCGACCATGAATTCAGAAGGGTTGAAATCCCCACATTGTTTCCTACTACCAATTTTCTCAAAGGATGGCAAAGGGCAGGCTGTAGATCAGACCTGGGAACCCACAAAGTCACCACTAAGAAATTGTCATGAGGGAGGAAACGTTGATCCTGTGGCTCTTCAGGTTCACACCCTAGCAGAGAGAGAACAACTCTGAGGAGAGAAGCTACCAAGAAATAAGGGCTGAGAAGCAAACCTTTGAAATACCCAGAAGCCATACAATAGAAGGGACCAGCCCAGTCAGCAGTGAACCTTAGGTAAGAACTGTGCACCCAGGCTTTTCAGTCATATTCCCCCCCCCCTCATTTCCCTTGTCTATTCATGACACTGACCTTTTGGCCCCCTAAGTGCAGGCCGGCCATTCTGGACACATCTAGGGCTGGATGTACACATATGGCAGCCACCCTGATCAAGTGCCTACCCCACCCACCCCACCATGGCCTATTCCCCAAGCTGGTCTGTCTATTAGGTGCCATCAGTCTGGCCTACCCCAGACTCTGAGGGGTGGGGACATCAAATGCTCAAAGAATGAGGAATTGGCTGCCAGTCAGGTACCGCCTGCTGCGCCCCCCCCGGCTCAGTGTGTGTGGGGGGTGAGGACTGAGTAACGGAACAGCAGCCCTTGGCTCAGAACAAAGCTAGGGGCTGGAATACAGTACAGTACTAGCGGGGGGGTTTGTTTGTTTGTTGGGAGGGGGGCACAAAATGTATCCAAGCCAGCTTAGTTTCCCAGGGTGTTGATCCAGTCACAAGGCTCTGGGCCCTCCCTGGTTAGTGGCTGCCTCCACTCTTCCCGCCACCTGTTGCCCAGTCGATGATGATGAAGCTGAGGCTCATGATCATGAAGAGTACTCCAAGGCACGCAAAGAGGGCTGCCTGCAGGGAGAAGAAAGAAGAAAGAAAGGGATAGTACTCACTCACAGCAACAGGACACACCTAAGTCTTTTGCTGGTGTGTGTTTCTGCATTAATGGGAGTTTTTTCGCTGCTTGTACTGATAAATGTTAGGGAGAATGGATAGGGAGTGCAGCTGGATTAAACATCCCCTCCCTGTATGTTGGAACCCTGATTTTTTAAATCTATCAATCACACAAAGAAATAAAGTATATGCTATGGCTTGTATCCTGTCTGTTCTCAAATCCAGGCAAAACAGACTGTTTCATGTAGGGTTCTGCTTTTTCTGCCATTTGCGCAAGCAGAATGACCCCCTGCTTTCAAACTATGTTTGCAAACAAGAGTCTGCCCTTTGTAATGCGTAGTTTAGCCTACAAAGTGGCATCAAAGCAGTCTGCATTAAACTTATGTTGTACAGCTCCGAGAATACCCCATGGCTGGTGGATGGGAACGTAAGTCCAAATAAGAGCATTTTCAAGCTCTAAGACCAACAACTCCTAACAGCACTAAATAGGAGGTGGGCATCCCCCAGGATGTTTCTGGGCAGTCTCAGCTAGATTGCCCAAAACTGGAATTTCTCTCAACAGGAGGTGCCGTTTCCACATCTGTATCTTACAAAAGTGAAATGATAGTGAATTTCATCTCTCTTGACTTCCTACAAATAACTCTGTATGTGCATTTTTTTAGGCGAATATCTAGTGTGGACATACCAGAATCTTGGGAGTGGATTTCGTAGGCTCCTTGTCCTTAGGCATGATCCGGATATAGAAAATGGCTGGGAAGATGAATATCAGGCAGGGGGCCGATGTGGCACCTGGAAGAGACAAGCAGACAATGCTCCAGCAACAGGAAGTATATCTCTGCCTTTGCCCCACATCCCTGTCAGAGGTCAGACAAGTTATCGATTTGCCCCCAGGAACAGCTTTTGAGTTTAGAATCAGCAGAGAAAGAAACAGCGGCTGAGTAGCCATGAGCAGAAGAGAAAGCCCTTTGAAACCCCATAGCAAACAAACAAGTTAGAAGCAACGGCCTTGATCCATATAAAGGTGGCTCTTCAGGCAAGAGGATCCTAGAAGTGAGTTGGGGGAGGGACCTCCCGCAGTGTTTCTCAAACTTCCTGTAGGAAGCTCCCGTCATCAGCTTGACTACAAAGTCATTTAAGCAGGAAAGATCATTCAGTTCTGAGCAGCTCTGAGAGAGAGGGACATAACTCAGTTTCTCCACTGAATCCTTGGACAAAAAACAGTGGCTAAAACCCAGCAGTAATTCACAACTAAAGTAGGCCCACTGAATCAATGGGGATTTAATGTATTCTCGAAGGCTTTCACAGCCAGGATCCGATGCCTGTTGTGGGTTTTCCGGTATGTTTGGCTGTGTTCTTAAGGTTTTTCTTCCTAATGCTTCACCAGTCTCTGTGGCCAGGATCTTCAGAGGACAGGAGACAGAACTCTGTCTGTACTCTGATGCAGTTTGCTTGGATAGTTGAGTATTTATAGCTGTGGGAACAGCTTTTGTCCTTTTCTGGAGATTGGGTGATTATGGTGATCAGGGTGTTTTTGTTATGGGTGTATTGTTGTGATAAGGGGGACAGATAATCTGTCACTTTGATTGATGAGTGTCTAGCTAATGACACCCATTCTCCAGAATGGAGAATTATATGATTTATGAGTTAAAAATGCAAAAATAAAAAAATAAAAAATCCCATGCCATTGCCTACTATGAAGAAAAAGGAAAGAGAAACATCTGGTCCATTCAGGTTGCAGACAGAAAAAAACACCTTCTTTTGACGGAAATGTTTTGCCTTAATATTGGTTAAATGTTCTGTTTTTGTAACACCATAATCTTCTTTCTACCAAAATACGCTAGAACTAGCCAATATGTATCTTTATAGGAAAATATTTGGGAAAACCTCAGTGGCAAATGCAGTCCAAAAAATTTAGGGACAAAAATCCACAATTTCTCCAAAACTGACTGGATCACTGAATGAACAGGTGTGGGTAAAACAGAGCATGGCAAATGGTACACCAAGGATGTTGAGAGAAGACTCACCAATCAGGCCAAAGATGCCCAGGATGGAGGGGGCAAAAATTACCAGCAAGTTAATGGATGTCAGCAGCACAACAGCTATAATACAGTGCCGAAGCCAGCTGAATTCTTTGTCCTGAAAGAGCATCTGCTGAATTGCACGGCGTACCTGAGAAGCAGAAAGAAATACTGTTGATACACAACACGTCATGCAACATGGACATGGAGACAAGAAAGGGGCCAACAGGTTACCCACCTGCAATGGTAGTTCTTCAAGTGGACCTCTGTGATTCACCACCCTGGGTGATCTGCGCCTGCGCGGAGCCTCACTGGAAAATTCTAGAGCTTCCGCAATAGCCAAAACCACATTAGAATAAGGCCCCTCCCCCCTCGTATAAGTACCTTGGCGCGAAGGCTCCCTTTTCAGTTGTGTCAACTGCCGCTACATTAAGCAGGATGGCGTGAGAGAGGGGAGGACGGGTGGGATGTGTGAATCACAGAGGTCCACTCGAAGAACGACAATTGCAGGTGGGTAACCTGTCGTTCTTCTTTGTGGCCTCTGTGAATCACACCCTGGGTGACTAAAAAACTGTCTTACCCAGAGGCAGAGTGTCATGCCAAGGTAGAGACTAGAACAGCACATCCAAAGGCTGCATCAGACTTTTGCCAGAGATCCAAGTCTATAATGCCTTACATCTAAAGTATGGAGGATTCTTTCTTGAGTTGTGGATAGTGACGGGAAGAAGGAAGGAAGGATAAATGGCTGATAGAGATGGAACTGAGATACGACTTTGGGGGGGAAAGAAATATCCATGGATAGTTTGACTTTGTCTGGAAAAAACTGAAAAAAAATAAGAATAATCATGATGTAAGGCCTCTAAATCACTAGCTTGTCGAGCTGAAGTGATGACGAGGAGGAAAACTGTTTTAAAGATAAGTAGCCATAAATCAGTTGAAGCTAAAGGTTTGAAAGGAGCTCTAGTAAGTTGTTGCAGTACTAATGTTAGTGTCCATTGCGGGAAAGGCGTATGGGTATCTGGGTCGATATGAGATAGACCCTTAAGAAAATGTTTCAATGTTGGATGCTTGAAGAAATCAACTGCCAGAGAGTTAGGGGGCTGATAAGAAACTATGGCAGAAAGGTAAAATCCCAAGGAAGAGAGGGAAAAGCCTCTAGATTTGAGATGAAGCAAAAAACATAGAAGAGTAGCAAGTGATGGGTTGATAGAAGGCAATGAAGAAGCTTCGTGAAAGATTTGAATCTGTTCCATTTATACAGGTAAGCCTTTATAGTGGAGGGTTTCTTTAACTGATGGAGGACGTTCATTAGTGAGGCGGAATCCTCCATGCTGCCAGGTGCAGAACAGGTAAGTCTGGGTGGAGTACTTGGGCATTGTTCGATAGGTTGAGTGTCATAGTGTTGATGTTTGTGGCTCAACGTCAATGGAGGCATCATGTCCATGGGCATTTGTTGGTGTCGAGGATTTTCGTTACCGAGAGATGTCATCCGAGTGTCCATGGACGTCATTTGACATGGTTGAACATCGGTGTTGAACTTGGGGTCACAGTGATGTCAATTTCGATAGCTTGGTTTTATCGGGAAACGGAAATCATGCGTCAATAGAGGAACAGAACAAGTGTCCATGGACCAGGATGGATATCGAAGATCATTGATATCAGAGCCTGTGTCTCGGTGATGTCAAAACGGAGGCTGCTGATGAGCTGGTAAAGCAGTGGAGGATATAGACGCTGGAGATGCTGAGCGAGAGGAATGATTTCCCTCCTCTGGATTAGCGGGAAACTATCAGGAGACTGGAGCTGTAAAAGCCTCGAGTGTAGAAGAAAACTGCTCAACCATCCTGGGTCTTTTAGGTGCCAGGTAGGGAGCAGGTTGGAGTTGATGTGGGTAACGGTGATACGGCCGTTTTGGCACCAATGGCTGTCGAGATCAAGGCCTGCCATGAGAAGGTACAGCCGAGCTGGATAGAGCAGCTGGCTGATTGGCAGTTGCGGTTTGTCCAGTCGAGCACTGGTCGTGGCAAACGGCAACCCAGTGAGAGTGCTGAACGCAGGTCTGGGCCACACTTGATGAAATAGATGGCTCTAGAGACTGTTGGGGCCGATGTCTCTGAGGAGGTTGTGCTTGACAATCAGATGTTACTGAATAAGGTGTGGTCTTTAATTGCTGTTCAGAGTCAACCCTGTCAGGTGAAGCAACTACAGAAGAACAGACTGTTGAGGACTGGGAGGAGAAGATGTTAATTGATCGACTCTGTCATCCCATTCTGGTGATTGGGAGCAGGGTTGATGGGAGGGGATTCTGTCATCATCAGAAGGTGGACCAATAGAGATTGTTGAGGCTGCTGAGAAATGACTACTGCTTTAGATTTATGCTGTTTAGGTCTTTTAGGTGGAGAAGGGCCCGGAACTGAAGAGGCTTTGGTGGACATTTGATGTTTAGTGGAAGGCTTCGATAGCGAGGATTTCGTTATTGAGCGCTTCAATATATGGGTTTTTGAAGTTTTAGACGAAGTGGACGGAGCGTCAGAGTGGGATGGTGTGGTCGATGGATGTTATTTTGAGGCTTCAGAAAGAGCCTTCTCCATTGCTTTGGTTTGTGAGGTGGCCTTAGAAGGAAGTTGGGCCATTTTGGTTGGTTGATTGGATTGTTCCCAAAGATGGAGTTTTAATCTGGATAAGCGAGAACGGAGGACTCCACGCTTGAAGTTCTTACAATGCTGATAGGAGAAAGTGTCAAAAAAGACACTTGGCGTGGCGGTCAAAGAGTGGTATTTTGTTATCACAGACCACGCAGTGTTTAAACGGGCCCAAAGGGGCCATGAATAGGAAAAAATAATTAAGGAGAAAAAAAGATGATTGGGGTGGTGCTGCAGCCGGAGGCCGAGCAAAGTAGAAAAGAAAAAAATCTCTAATGCTAATGAATTTATGATCTAAGTTAAAAGGAAAAAAAGATTGATAACAGAATCGAATCAAGAATAAACTCTTTCTCTTTTACTCACAGAAGCAGAAGTATGAGGATCTCAATGAAAGAAACTGAAAGGGGAGCCTTGGCCCCAAGGTATTTATATGAGGGGGGAAAGGCCTTATTCTAACGTGTTTTTTGCTACTGCAGAAGCTCTAGAACTTTCTGATGAGGCTCCATGCAGGCGCAGATCACCCAGGGTGTGATTCACAGAGGCCATGAAGAAGAACCTGCTGCAAACTCAGATACTGAGAGTGTCCCTACATCTTCTACTCTGGCAGCACCATCATGGGCCCCAATGAGGTCGCCCATGATATCAGCGATTTACTGACTTGTTCCTCTGCTCATGTGACTTTTGCCAGCAGTTCCCCTCTGTACCCTACACTGGGCAAACAGGACAATCTCTGTGCAATGAATAAATGGATACTGGTCTGACATCATCTACTTTTTGCAAGGCTCTGACTGCTTCTGTCCATGTCCCAGCCAACATCCCAACCAACCCCAGACATTGATTGAAGTGGCAGTTATTGTAACCTATGTCCTCTGTTCCAGCACTGTGGTTGCTGCTGGGAAACTGCTCAACGCAAACCCTTCTCTCTTGGTCACCTTAGTGACCAAGAGATTTAATTGCAGGTGGGCCTTCTGCAATTAAATCCTGCCCATGTTACATGGGCCCCACATAGACTGGCCAAGCTATATCTGGGCTTTCTTGACACTTATTTTCCTTTTCAGTTACTTATTAGAGGTAAGAATGACATCCACTCTAGGAATGGGACTTCAGATTTTAGACTTTCTTAAATTAAATCTGGCCTAAATTAGATGACTTCACAAGTAGGGCTACCTGGATGATGGCTGTTACTTTCTTTTACAGGAATGTTTTCGCAGGACAGCCCCATATCAGGCTGCCTTATATTAAGATGGATCTTATAGGGCAGTGGTTCTTAACGTGGGCGATAATGCCCCCCAGGGGGCGATTTCATTTTTCAGGGGGGCAACAGAACGAAAAGGGGCGGCATGCGGGCGCTGGAGCAGAAGGGGGCGGTAGGTGGGCGCTGGAGCAAGCCAAACCTGTGAAGATGGCTGCAGCCTTTTTACAGTGTGCATGAATATACATTTTCCTCCAATCTTAATTTAGTTTCAGAGTTTTTGTCTTGAAATTTTTAGTTCCTACATTGCGGTTTGTTTTTACGCCCTTTTTATATTTCTTTTTGCGTCTTAAATTCACTTGCAACTACTGTAAATCATTAAATGTTACTTTTGGGGGGGCATTTCATTTTCTTGGAATTGAATTTTGTTTTCAGGGGTCATTGGATTTAAGTTAAATAAATAAATAAATAAATAAATAAATAAATAAATAAATAAATAAATAAATAAATAAATAAATAAATAAATAAATAAATAAATAAATAAATAAATAAATAAATAAATCTTTGGCATGGTGTCACCCAGAATCATTCATTCTGACATGGTGTTTCTCCAGAGTTTCATCCAAGAGTTTTTCATTAACCCTACGTTGATCTCCATTGTATTTCCTGATGGTGCTCCATCCGAGTACTAAATAAGTCTGAGCCTGTTTAACTTCCAGACTCAAGACAAAATTGGGAACATTTGGTGTGTTGTGGTGTGATTTCAAAGTATGTTTTAAATACTTTCATTCTTTTTATGTTTTAATTGCAGTTCTGCTATGGCCTTCATGAGACATTCATCCTTGTTTCTCTCTGATGATTTTCTACCAACATTATACAATTTGGCTCCTGCTTTCTCTTGCTTGCACCTATAGCCAGGGTTGTAGAGGTCGAGTAGGAAAACACGGTGATACTGATATTAGCAGTAAACATGCTCGGCTATCTTGACAATTGTTTGCCTTTTTAGTTACCAATTAGAGATAAATATGACATCTACTCCAGGGAACTGGACTTCAGATTTTAGACTTATTTTTGGTTTCTGATACGTAGTGTACAGAGTCATTTACACATACAGTATCTCATCTCTTTATATACTTTCCATATTTGTTTTTATTACTTACTGGGAAAAGAACAATGGGCACCGTCAATGTCACAGCAGTCAGGACGGCTACCCGCACACACAGGATCAGCACATCAAATGGGTCTACTCTGTTGTAGGTGTGTAGCAGCTCTGATTCTACCTGGCCTGTACAAATAGAGAAAATCATGTCATTACTAGTCAGGCCTGATCTTCAACAAAGAGCTTCGTTTACATCCCAGAACTACTCCTTACAAGAGAGGGCTGTATAGATATTAGCTCCTTCTTCACTGGAACCCACATCCTGTGTCGACAAACAGAGGGCTTTGTTTTCAAATAAGCATGCATAGAATTATGGTGCATGACACTGAAATAACAGAATTAAAGGAGTGGGATGGCATTGCAACATTGTATGTGCTGCATCCACTAGAAACACTCAAAAGGGCTTAATGTGAAGTTGTCTAGTGAAAAGCATGGAATGGCATCATCCAAAAGCTATACAGGGTGAGAACAGGGAAGGCTTTTAAAATGTGGAAGGACCTCTGGCACGTGAAATATTAATTTGGCTTGGCCACCAGAAGAGCATCAGGGTCTGCCTACTGCTTCCTAGCAGTGAACTATGAAGCCCCAAGGAAATGAATGTCCTGTCTGAGAAGACACCTCGTTCCCCCTGGGCCCATCCTTCCTCTCCATATGGGCGGGCCCTGTGGGGGGGACTTACCATAGAAAGTGAGGTAGCCAAAAAGGGCAGCCAGGAAGTACATGACATACATGACGGAGATGGAGATGTTTGAGATGCACTGCATTTTTTTCTTGGAGGGGCTAAAAGACAAGCAGAGACACAATGTGTGTGAGAAGGAAAAAAATCCCTGATCTGTTAAAGGTACCCACTCTTGCTTGCCAAGATCCAAGTGTCCCCCCCACCCAAGGACAGAGAAAGAAATAAGATTGGAAAGTGTCCGATTTTATCCTGAAAAACTGAATTGTGCAGGAGCTCCACTCCCCCCACCAAAAAAAGTTCAATTCCTCTCTTTGCTCTGCCTCCACTTTAGTGCCATGTTTTAGCAGTGGATCAGTGCCATAAACAAACACTTACTCTTTCAGCTCAGTATAAATAGGCAGGACTTCAGGGTGGCACACAAAAGCAAATGCCATGATGGGGATGGTATAGGCTGTCTGCAAGGGTGTGAAAAGGAGAGAAAAGGAGAGAGAAAAGAGGATGTTAAGGCAAGTGCCGACTTCACCCCATCATAAAGCTCTTTTAGCCTCTCAACTGCTTATACCTGGAAAGACTGAAACACACACACACACTCTCACACACACTGACTGTTAATTGGAAGAGGTGGAGGTAAGCAACTCTGACTCAAACAGGGTTGTCTCTTCATGTGATTTTATAACACCTCACCCCCAGACTCCACATGCCTGATTAGGGAGTACTTTCCACATCTTCAATACTAAGCATTTCTTATCCTTCAGCTCTTTTCTTGCTCTGTCAGATCAACACACATTCACCTGCTATTGGCCTCCTTTCTCTACCACATTTGTTCCATATCTGTGCTGCTCCTTATGTTCCAAATGACTTCCCTGCCTGGTCAGTCCTCTTTTCCTTCAGTTCCTCTAAAATGAGAAATCTAATTTTTCTCCCATATTAGCCTATTTGTCCACAGTCTACTCTGCTCTAATCCCATTCCTTTTACTATCAATCCTCTCCCTCTCTTTCGCAGACATCCAGCCGTTTATGGCCATGCCAATCCTACAATTTGCACAGTGCCTGTTTCCTTTGTAATAGGGGAGAACAAAATGCAGCCGATAAACCACCTTCAACTTTCCTTGAGGCCCAAATGAGGTACCTCCCCATCCCCTACTCCCTCAAAGTTAATTTAAAAAATAACTGTTCAACTCAGAATGTCTCTCTCTGTCCTCCAGAGAAAATTGGGGGGGGGGAGGAGAGCAACTTTGCCATGTTTTGGAAATCACCAAAATATGCTGTCCTCCCATTCTAATTAAAGAATATTTTGATTTGGTTTTCTGAGTTTGGGTCACTACAGGCTTCTTCCCTTTAAAAAAAAGGGTTGTAAGAAGAAAATTTGGGGGATGGTAGGATGCAGGAGCAGATATGACCTTCTTAAGGTCTAGGTGTTCCCACTCCTTCTCTGTAAGCACAGAACCATTTCACTGTGGGTGACATGGATCAGTGGTAATGGTAAAGCAGGAGTGCACAACCTGGCTCCCACTACAGTGTTTTTAGAGAATTACCAGATTTTAGGTATTGCTGGGGTTGTGATCCAAAACACGAGAGTGGGTGGTTTAGAGGTTCTTGTCCCTGCTATATAGATTAACTGGACACAACTAAGTTCATCTAATGCTCTAATCTGCAACTTACATTACTACACATCTATGTATCAAACTGCTCCTGCTGCATGGATCATGAACCCCACTTATCTGACCTGAGAGTTGAGTGTGAACAAGCTTGAAGAGCAGACATCTTCTTCAGTTGCCTGGACAACCGCAGGATCACTCTGATAGCTGCTTGTATTGACTGATGCATAAGTCAAGTTGCCAGTTTTGTTGATTGAGTCTGGAAGTGGACAGGGGATCTGGAACTTTTTATAAATAACCTGGGATGGGAACCAGAAAGTACAGCATTATTCATTCATTCATTCATTCATTCATTCATTCATTCATTCATTCATTCATTCATTCATTCATTCATTCATTCATTCATTCATTCATTTAGGTGGTTCACAGTATTTAAAAAGTAGAATTAAAATCACAATACAATGAATTATGCATTTTAAAAAACTGAGTATTTAAAAAGTAGAATTAAAATCACAATGAATTATGCATTTTAAAAAACTGGGAAAGAGGAACACTGAGAAGAAAGAACAAGAGGGAATGATTCAGGAGAGAAACATGTAGACAAATATTTAACCCACCCTAAACATCAGAAGAAATAAAAAGCTCTTAGCAGTTTGTCAGATGCTTGAAAGGGCGGTGGGCAAGGTCTACTAAACCTCTCTAAGTCCCCTAAGAGCAAAGGCCTTATGCTAAAATGTCACTTGTAAATCATGCTCATCCAAGACAACATGTCAGCACATCAAGCCCTGACAGAAAACTGGCACAACAGTGGTCCTGGTGAGGGAGGTGCTAACATACTTGGTGTACAAAAACAGGGCTGGGGAAAACTTTAGCCACCCAGGTGTTTTGGATGCCACTTCACATAATCCTTTGCCACTGGCCATGCTGAAAGTTAAAATCAAAAACAGCTGCAGGGCCAAATGCTCTACAAACATTTTGGCCACCATAGAGCTATTTTGCTATGGTAGAACATCCCTGTATGGTTACAAGTCCTTATAATAAGGAACAAAAGTAGCACATGATAGCTAGTGTAATGATGCGGACAGAGTGTTGGACTAGGACTCAGGAGACCTGGGTTCAAATCCATGCTCAACTGCAGAACCTCACTGGAGGATGACAATGGTAAAACTGCTGCTTAAATACTCCACATACCTCAGAAACCCTAGTACCCTAACTCAGAATTGACTCAAGGCAACATCACACACAAATGGCAAGGCACAACGAACTTTCCGTATTCTGCAAGATACCTCAGCTCTACATATTTGTAGGCTTGAAGGGGTTATTTCCCCCCACCCGTGCCGTCTCATTTTATTCCCTTGGGGCACTGTTAGTCTGTGGGGGAAGGAAATGGGATGTGTTTTGCTTAGCTATGAATACGAAGCAGTTTTCAAATGAAGCAGTGTTCACACTGCAGTCCATGTGAGATTGTTTGCTCACTTTAAATTTAGAATCGCCTGTGTTTTTAAGGCTCACGTCAGCCTGGAAAAAAGTGTCCTGGGTTAACTGGGATGCCTATGTGTTTCTGCTCATGCTCGGGAGCTTGCAGCTCCTTCCCAGGGAACCGCCAGCCTGAATGGCAGGCACTGACTACTTCCCCTTGAGGGCTCAGCCTTGACCCCAGCCTTCTCTTGTCACCCCACATGCTGGCATCTTCGCCCAGAAATAGATCAGCCTTGCTAACAAGAGGAGCGAGAATGACGTGTCTCTCTCTGGCTGTTGCTCAAATGGCTGGGGGCAGCTTGCTTGTTATTCACTATGACAGCCCGACAGGACTTGCAAAATCTGAGCCACCCAAAGTTAGCAGCGGCCAGAGGTTGGGTTTTTGTTTTTTTTGCTTTTTAACCACTTTGACCTGACGACTGGTGTTAGCCCAGGAAAAGAGGCATTTTGGGCTGTACCTGGTTCAAGGAAAACTGGGAGTAATCAGCAAAAGAGGGGGAGAGGGGGTGTCTCATAAAAACCGTTATGCTCTAAAGCCTTGTACCCACAGAAATGAAATGCAAATCCTGTCAGCAAGGATTTTCGTATTTATTCCGTTGACTCCATTTTTATATAATCTTCCTCCAAAGACCTCAGGACAGTCTCCACTCCACTCCCCATTTAATCTTCGCAACACCTCTATGATGCAGGCATGGCAGGGACACAGCAAGTGGTTAAAGCCCCCCCCCCCGCGTAACTTCATGACCTAAGGGGATATTTTTGGACCCAGCACTCTCCAATCCTATGACAGTCCAACCATTACTACACTATCACCTCTCTTTCTTTTTTTTTCCCTAAGGAATGTTTCAGTCTAGAAAAGACATACCTCGTTCCTGCAATATCCTTCAAGGATTTTGGTTAAAAATGTTTTAAATGTTTTTTTTTAGAGGTCAAGGAAAGGACCTCAAACTAAATCTTGAGCAACACCATCCAAAATGAGCATTTTTGTGAAGATTTCTCCTCAAAAGATTTTCAACTAAATCCCCAAATCATGCATGCATGTCATTGAGGAATTCTGGCTAAGGCTAATAACCCGGCCATTTTAAGCAATTCAAAATATTTGGAGGTCCCCAGATTGTGGAAGACTATTAGACATAGAGGGTGATCAGAGGGGCATATAGCTCATTGTTTGGTTTCCTTTTGGTACAGTTTGGTCTAGCCGATTGTCTGGTGACCACATGTGTTCTCAAGTAATAGTGATCCATCCCACCCTTTTTGCAAGTTTTCTCTTTTCTTTCTGGAATAACACTAGGCCTGGAGTTTATTTGGTGTGATTGGGAGTGCTCTTGATTGCTCTTTTCAACAGTCTGTGTGGTTGGTTAATCTGCTCCCAAACAGAACTGTGTTCTCTGTGCTGGTAACCCTGTGGGGTTTGACATTGAAAGTGACAACAAAGAAGCATCTTCCTCTACTTTCATCTTCTCTAACTTTTAAAAAAAATCCCTAATTGACACAGTACAGTTCTAGATACACAGGGGTACCCTTTGGTATGTGTGATGCAGCATAAATTCATTGGGAAGGAAATTAACAATAATTAAAAAGGGAAAAGGTCCTGCGGCCTGCCAGTGACAAAACGTAGGGAAGGGATCATCCATAACTGAAAAGGGGAGAAACTGTAGGGATTTGAAATAGGGTCTGGATCTTTCTCACAGGATAAGAAACATCTCTTATGTGAATAGAAGGACCATTCAAGTGCAGGATAAAATAGATCACACTGAAGAGAAGAGCCTTTTAAGTGTGAACTAAAACACTCCAGCTTCATCCATGTAATTTTGTGCATTACAGGAAAAGTAGGATAGAAATGTTATTAGCTTTTAACTAAAACAACAGTCTCAGCATTATTTAGGAATAAGCCCCACTGAACGGAATGAGAGACTTACTCATCAGCAGACGTAATGGGACTGACTCCACAACAGACATGCATTGTATTGTACAGTAAATAATTAAGACACTATTAAATTAAACAACTCACCGAAATAAGAAAGAAGACCATGCAGCTGAGTGAAAAACCACTGGCATAGCCAAGGTAACCTGGAAAGAGTGAAAACAAAAAGTTGCAAAAAGGGGCTTTGAAAAGTCTGTGGAATATATTTCTTCCTATTTCTTCAGCTATGAGATGCCCTGGCCTTGGCCATAGCCCAGGGACAGAATTTCACCTTCCATAATGGAGTAAAGGTGAACTGTTTGGTTCATGAATCCCCATTTCCCTAACTCCATCTCTTAACCCCTCAATCTGTGCTGATTATAAAGAAAACTAAGACCTTTAGAAGAGGGTATTGATTAAGAATATGAACCTGGAAGTGTAGAACTATATTTTGGTCCAAGGAAGCCACCACACTTGGGGTTTTATCCTTGACAAACCCCACTGATTCTGATCCCAAACAAAGTTTCCCCACCACTCACTTCTCCAGAAGCTCAAGGAGACACAGAGGAGCATTTCGACGCTGAGGGAGGAATGAAGAACTCTGCAGTGCTTTAAAATAATGCTAGGAAGAACAACCATCAGCCTCCAGCAGTACAAAACAAATTCCTCTGGCATACAAATACATATGACTATAAAATCCAAGTGATGGCATGTGTTTGATCCTGCAACACCATTTAAATTTTTTTAGAGCAGTACAACAGTTATCTCAGGAGTTAGTGAGTGCTCCAACACTGGAGGCATTCAAGAAAAAGATAACCGCCTGGAAGATATGCTTTGATTTTATTCCTTTGACCAGGAGGTTGGACTTGATGGCCAACTTCACTTTTCTATAATTCTATGATGACTCTATGGGTCTCTCTCACCTGACTGAGACCCTCTTTCAGCATACATTCCCACTGACTTCACTGGGTGACTTACCAAGCTGCTTCATGAGGGCCAAAGGGAGAATGACGCTGACAGAGACCATGATCACCAGGTAGTTGCCATTCATATACCAATCCCTACAATGACACAGACCACAGTTAATATTCCTTTACAGAAGACTCTGAAATGGTAAAGCTTGGTTTGGAACTCTTTAGTATCTGACACTGAACAAGGTGTCACATAAGTTTGAACTTCACTGCAGAATGAAAAATTGGCAATTGTGACTAACATTTCCACTTCAAAATTTTACAGCACTAGTTAGAAACAGAGCATGGAATACAGTAGGCATCCAAATCAGAGGCATAACATGAGAGCTCAATACTCGACCCAAGTGGATCAGTTTTCTTCAAAGCTGACAAATTGATTCTCAAGCCCGGCAATTCACTCAAAATTCAACTCAACCAACTTGAAATTCAGACTCTTTTGCTTTTTCACATGTCCAACTAACCATTTGAGAATATGAATAAAGGTTCCCAGCTTCTACCTGCCAGTTTAACAATGGGGAGAAAAGTCAGCCCACTCCACCACTGCTCTTGCTGGATGGGTGATTCTGGGAAATGTGGTATCCCCCACCCCACCAAAAAGCCATTCACAATGTCTGCATTACTTTATGACCCACATACCCATAACCCAGACCATAACCCACCACGTCAGGAAGGCTTATAACAATGATAACCAAGTCCCTGGATGCTGTTTCTTTTAGTTACGTTTGTTTTAAAAGTTCTAAATGTTGTCAATCAATTTATTTAATCAATATTATAACTTAATTGTTTTCAAATGCATAATCTATTGTGTTTTAAATTCTATTCTTTTTAATACTGTGAACTGCCTTGAGTCCCCTTATCGGGGCAAAAGTGGTCTATAAATTAGACAAATACAAGAGATAAATATGTAGCTCTTAGCTCCATGCAGAAAAGTGAGATGTAGATGGATTCAACACAATGGAATATTGTCCTAGGTGACATATATGCGTGTGCATGCACACATGCACATCCACGCGTGCACACACATGCTTACTGGCCAAGTAATAATTAGCAGTATAGACAGCAATGATTGTGAAGATGGAATACTAGGACTGTTTTGCAAGCCAGTGTCAAGCTTTGACATGGTCTAGATTTAGCAAGAAACTGAGACAGCAGAACCTTCCCTGGTTCACAAATGGATAAGACTGCTCTCTGCAGAAAGCCCTCAGGTGACACTGCAGACTGTGCACAGCATGAAATTCAACAAGCGCTCTGCTCTGGATGCAGCCTGCTTCACCATCTTCTGTTCATCCTCCTGGACCTTTCTCTTCCCCTGTAAAAAGCAGGACCCTGTAGCTGTTTGCCTTGCCAGGAATCATACAGTCAGAATAACACAGAGAAAGGAAAGATGAGATGGCTTTGGTTTTGGTTCTGAGGCAGATGAGTTTGAGTCTCTGACCTCTCTCCCTCTACTCACATACCCTGCTCTTTCTTTTCTCTTCTCTCTATTTCATTGAAGGTGGAACTTCTCCTTAGTGTTTCAGTATCTCACATATCTTTCTGGCTAAAGTCGAGGAAACAAGGGAGGACTTAAGTAGATAGTTAGGCCTTGCCCATATATTCTGCAACTGCAAAGCTCACCTTATTTGTAACTTTTTAGTGATCCCACAAAAGTATTGCCTAACCCAAACTCTGTTACAATTAGTCATAAGGCTATTTGGGTATCAATTATAATACAGCTTCCCAAGTTAGGTACATCTGTATATAAGTACATAAAGCAGTATGCATGATGTACACAATTTTTGGGAAGGCCATTTTTAATTATATCTGCCAAAGTTTCATTGTGTATGTTATGCCTGTGGGAAAATGATAATGTCACCAGCAGATTTTAGGTAATTGGTCACAGGAAGGTAAACATCCTCCCGCACTGTACAAGTTTGAGAAACTGGTATATAAAACTAACAGCCAGCTGTATACTTGAGTGATTCACTAATGACTATCCAATCATCTTGCCTAGCCACTTACTGTGAAGCAGAGACTAAAAAGTTACTTTTCTGACCTATAATTCCCAGAATCCATTCAGTATGCATGGCAAGTGGCCATGATGGCTGAAGGATCCTAATAAACAACTTTTTAAAGCTCTGCTCTGCACCTACCACCTGGCCATCACACTCCAGATAATTGCTAATCCACACTCTGAAGAATTCAGGATTCTGGGAGTTGTGGTTTTTAAAAGTAACTGTTCACTGTTCTGCTCTGTGCCATAACCTGACCATCATATTTTGAAGGCTGTGAAGCTGTTGGGGCCTTTTTTTGTTGTTTAATCATTAAGTCGTGTCTGACTCTTTGTGACCCCATGGACCAGAGCATGCCAAGCTCTCTCGTCTTCCACTGCCTCCCAGAGTGAAATTCATGCTGGTAGCTTTGCAGACACTGTCCAACCATCTCGTCCTCTGTCGTCCCCTTCTCCTCCTGCCTTCACATTTTACTAACTTCAGCATCTTTTCCAGGGAGTCTTCTCTTCTCATGAGATGGCCAAAGTATTGGAGCCTCAGCTTCAGGGTCTGTCCTTCCAGTTGGCCTGCCTACATCTGGCTATAGTTAAAAGTCAGCAAGAATGGACAACCTCTGCTCATCTGGAAGCCAGAGCTTCTGTGGAACTAGTGGGTTCCATCTTGACATTGTACAAAGACTGCAGTGTGACCAAGGATGAACCCATTGTGGAGTGATACCTCCAAACACAGGAATCCTCAACCAGGTCCTATTTAGATCAGCACAAACTGCCAACACTTCCTCATATTTTGTCTCTGCAGCCAAGAGAACTGGGTATGTATGATGAGTTTGAATTAGATTCTCAGGTGAAAGTTTTTGATATACTTTGAGCTCTCTGAAGGATGCTACTCCCAAATACCCCAGTCCTGAGGCTATAAACCGAATGGTAGGACCTCCATTTTTGGGAGCTATTGTTCTAGACAAGGGCTTATCTCATTCTTGCCTACAGCGTAAAATCACCCTAACAGCTACAGAGAGTGTATATCACACAGGAAAAAAAGAAAGAAAGAAGAAGGATCCCCCTGGGAATGGACATAACTCAGAGGGTAAAGCATCAACTATGCATGCAGAAGGTCCCCAGAATCAGTCCGCAGCATCTCGAAAAATCCCTACCTGAAAACCTAGAGAGATGCTACAAGTAAGTGTCAACAATATGAAGCGAGATGGAGCAAGGGCTGAATTCAGCATAAGGCAGCTTCCCATCCTATATTTCTCTGGTTGCTTCGCCCTTACCAAGTGTCAAGAGGAATTGGGAGTCACAACTTTCTCAGCAATTGACTGCACACCCCTTGTGGACCACCATGTTGGCAGTGTGGGAGGAACATCTCCTACTTCTTCAGTCTATGAGCTGCCATGCTGGAAGCCAGAAGATCCAAGGAGATTAGCTGTTTTAATCCCTCAGCACAAAACCAGGAGGGTCAGCTTCTTTCTTGCAGATGTGCTAGATGCTGTGCAGGGAAAGGTGAGTTGTACGGCCCAGCTAGGCTGCGAGCAGATGCAGGCAGCTGGGCGACGCATCCAGAGCAGGGACTGGGGAGCAAGTGATACATCCTTTGAGGATTGGAAGTTCACTCTGGTTTAATCCTTTGCTGACGGTTTATTCAGCGCTGGCGTCAATCAAAAATAGTAGTGGCTTAATGCTGTCAAATCCCTGTGACAGGCTGCCCTGAGGAGACAAATCCCTATGCTACTAGAGAGAGATGTTAACTAGAGCTGAGCCGGAAGGTAGGCAGGAAGGAAGGAAAGGAGGGAGGGAGGAAGGAAGGAAGGAAAGGAGGGAGGGAGGGAGGGAGGCAGGCAGGCAGGAAGGAAGGAATGGCTGTAACAGAACAATTTTCTAATCTGGTTGAAATTTGTTTGCCTCTAGCAGTGTCATATTGTAAGATACCAAAAAGTCCTCCTTTTTCTCCCAAAATATGAACACTAACATACAGATAATTTACCAGCTGGACTGAATTTCCAAAAGTTGTGACTGATCATCTTCAGGATCATCACTGCCATCATACCAGAAACAGTCCTATACTTACAAGATTGGAACATAGGAGGGAAAATGAACACTCCGCACCTATGGCAAGAAACAGAAAGAATTCCTTAGATGCTTCAGACAGGCATTCCATCTTAGATTTCTCACATTGCATTGATGAAACTGAGAGGAGATCCCTGTATATGAAGAAGTGGACATCATTTCAACCAAGTTCAGAGTGACTTACTTCAAGATAGTGACAGATGAATGCATAGTATGGCTTTCTCTCACAACTA